TAGGCAGGAAGAAGGAAGGGAAGAAGAAGAAGAGAGGAGAGGCAGGCAGGGCAAGGCAGGGGTGTGTGTGTGTGTGTGTGTGGGGGGGGGGAATACTACCTATAGCTCAGGGGCCCCTTAAAAATTTTAGAAAATTAATATTTATCTGCCCATGGCTGCCTGTCATGCGGCCCTCAATGTCTTGCCAAATTTCAGGCAGAGGGCTGCTTACTGAGTTAATCGCCCACCCTTGCCATAGGCTATGAGGTTAAAAAAGAAAACAATGGGCAGGCTAATGGCTTGTCAATTAAGCAATTACCTACTCATTCAAAGTTCCCCCTCTCTCCCAAAATGGGGCTTCACCTATCTGTGTTGTCTGGCAGGGTTTGCCACATGCGCCACCCCCCACAGGGAACAGCTGTTGTGTCTGAGCTGCTGTGTTACTGTTTAACCATCTGATATAATTAGAGGAGGTTAAACGAATATTTTTTAAACAATATTTACATCCCTACCCACTACAGCATACAACTGTTCCTAAAAAGCCTAGATCCTAAAAGCAGAATCGTAACACACAAGGTCTAAGCCAGGGGCATCCAAGTGATGAGGCTGGTCCACAGGCTGGATTGGGCCTATGGACCGTGCATATGGTGCTAGCCCCAGGACTGCGCCACACACACTGCCTGTTCCAGCCAGTCTGGGGCCTATGCTGCACACAGCTCGGGTTCCAGACCAGCTGAAGCAGGTGGCATGTGCAGTGCACTCTGGCTGTGGTGACCATGTGCAGCTCAGCTGCCACTCCAGATGGACTGCACCACATACAGCATGTGTTCCAGCTGTTCTGGTATCCACACTGATTGTAGCATGGGTCCCAGACCAGCTGGAGTGACTGCTAGATCATGTATACTAGGGCAGGGAGGGGAAGGGCAGGGGAGGGAAAAGAGGGTCCAATCCAGCCTTGTGCCATGGTTGTACATCATACCCCATTGTTGGTCTGATTACAGCCAGGATCGGCAGTGGGGTTTGTCTGGCCAGGCTCTGTTGGCTGGACATGTTTGATACCTCTGGTCTAAGCAGTAAGAACCAGAATGATAGATTGTTTTTAGAAAGACCCATTATCTTGTCCTTTACCATGTATTACTCACTCCCTCTGCATTGCTATTTGTGTTTCTTGCTTTGTTTCTATTAGTACACAGCCTGAATTTCAGTGTTTCAGTAATCATGTGCTTGCATGTGAAAACAGGCATCTATTTGTGCATACCACACATGGTTCCTTTCATAAAGCCATGTACATGTCCACATGAAGGTTCTTCATAGAGACAAACTAAATAGGCTAGCATCTGCACCAAACTGAAAGTCAGGCTTATAAAATGCATTCAATAAAAACAGAAATTGTGATGTTGTCCCATATATCTTGGGAGAGAAGACAAGGAGGCAAAGAAAGTTGAGGCTTCCTGAGAATCATCTATAAAATACACAAGTCACCACAGACAACTTTAAGACTAGTTCATTTCAACAAAACTTTGACCATGTGCGAATAAATTGTTGCATTCTACCTTAACATTTATTTTTTCATTGATTCATAATATTAATGTGTATTATCTTGGAATTCAGTGATAAAAGCAGCATAAAACTTTATTAGTGTTTTAAAAGAACTCTGACTTATTCTTTTCACCAGTTGGGTATAGTCTATTCTCCACAGACGCACAATAGCTTTAGATCAGTCTAAAGATATACTAAGAACTTTTAAAAATAGGTATTAGCTGGTTTTCATCAGCAGTATGATTTAGTAGAAAAGGAATCCTACTATGAAAGACAAACAGCATGCTCTATAAGTTCCAACCTATTACATTCTCTCAGCCTAAGATGTTAAAAAAAATTCTCTCTGAAGGTTCACTTATATTAAAAATTCTGCTTTTTGCAAGCAAAGGACAAAAAAGAAAAAAAAAAAATCAAAGTTATGAAATCAGAGACAAACATAAGAGTATAAAGTTCGTTATCCCACCTTCTCTCATACAATCCACATAATCCACACAAGTAAAATCATAGCAATGACCTTTCACAACAAGATTCAGCAAGTTTCTTTTCAATTTAAAACCCGAATACTACATGCAGACCAAACTAAACATTGAAGCAAACAAAAATCAGAACAGTATGAATCCTAATTTTGCTCCAAATGACAAGTGAGAACAAGATAACTGTGACCAAGAATAACATTACTTCAGCACTAAAACATTTCATATCAGTACTTACTTCATTGATAACTTCACTTTGGGTTTAAAATATGGTTCTTTTTGGTCTGCCAGAAAGATAAATAATTCATTCCCTGAAAAAGCATGCAAAAAAGTGATAATGAGTAAACCCTATTAAATTTAGGTTGTATAAATTTAGAGCAATATTGAACAAGTTATGCTTGAGATAATGTGCATATACAAATAATTACTGATGAACTTGTACAGATGAAAAAACCTCCAAAAGGTCCCCTCACTTCCTCCCGCTTCAACAGAAAATAAAGGAGAACACTTCCTTTTCATGACTTTAGGAAATTATGTTAAATCCAAAACAACTTGTTGCTTTATGAACATGTTTCTCAAACTTACCAAAAAATTTGAATCCTTCACACCTGCCAGTACTTGCCATGAGTGAATGAGGTCTTGGACATCAGTTTCTCTAACATTAACAAGCTCCAATTTTTCTGACAGCAAAGGTAACCTTTCAAATATTGAAACAATTCTAGCATCTCCTAAGGATGCCTTCCTGAGTCTCCAGACAAAAGTAGCTGCATAACTCAATGCATGACACAGCGGTCAGTTGCTCTGGAACTGTGATGTTAGTTCGAGTGACACAGAGGTAATGAAAAAGACAAGTGTCAGCGCCACTCTACAGTTATTTAAGAAATGCCTGATTAGTACCTCATGTCATTTAAGGCATTCTTACAGTAACTTCTATGGCATGACCCTTAAATTCCACAACAAAATTAAGTTATTTCATCTTCACTAGTTACCCTATAATCTCTCCAAATAGAACTATATAGCCCAGCTTGTACTTATGATTCCTTTTACACAGTGACTATGGACTGGACTCCACGTTCTCTGTATTCAAAGTACAGTGCAAGATGAATGTGCTGCAAACAAATTAACCTCTCCTTGTTAGGACAGTTGAAGAGCAAGTAGCTATCCATTTGGTAAGTGCTGAACCAGCTAAATAATAATGGCCACAAGCCAGCAGAGAGCAGATTTAGACTGGACATTAGGAAGAACTTCTTCACTGTTAGAGTGGCCAGGGTCTGGAACGGGCTCCCAAGGGAGGTGGTGCTCTCTCCTACCCTGGGGGTCTTCAAGAGGAGGTTGGATATGCATCTAGCTGGGGTCATCTAGACCCAGCACTCTTTCCTGCCTATGCAGGGGGTCGGACTCGATGATCTATTGAGGTCCCTTCTGCCCCCAACATCTATGAATCTATGAACTGAAGGGGTGTAAGCACACGTTTGGACCTCTGCACACTCAGAAAAGTTTCTACAGCTTTAAGGGGACTTCCTCTTGCACTGCTGAGTGTTTGCTTCAATCTCTACATTCTTTTCACTTCAACTTGACTCCAAATCTATCCTCCTCTCTGGGTCCCTTCTCAGATACTTCCTTGTTATTTCAATTTACCTTATCCCCTCCTAACTACAGATAGATGCTCCCCCCCCCCGCAAACAGCATGAAGCTAACATGATAAACACTGCATATTATGCCCTTTCCCACATCCTGTGGGCACCTCATCAATACAGGCTACAAACTACTCAGAACAAAGATTGTGTTCTAGTGTTTGTATAGTGTCTAGTACAATGGCAGCCAACCAAGAATAGGATTCCAGGCACAAACAGAATAAATACAATCAACAATAGGTAGTTCCCACCAGGGGTGGATCCAGAGGGAGTGCAGTTACATGGTTGCACTCCCTTTTTGAACTGCAATGCACCATGGGACCCTTTGTGGACTTTTTAAAGCCCCTAAAGCAGATGAAAATCCCTTCCTCCTTTCTTCTTCCTGCTTAAAGGCATCCCCCTCTCTGCCTCTTTCCCCTGCCCAACTCTCCCTGCTTTTCCAGGGAATGGGGAAGCATCAGAGCTGTTCTTGCTAGCTGTGCTGTGCTGTGCTCTGCTGGGAATGGGGACAGTGGCAGCAGGGATGGACAGGGGTGTCCCTACACATGCTCAGAAAAGGGTGGAGGGAAACTACTCTCCACTACACTGCTCCCACTGTCCCCTCCCTAGCTGAGTCTAGTCTCCACTCAGCCTGGCTGGCTCTGGAGCTTTCCCACCTGTCATTAGTGGAGAAAGCAGCAGCAGCAGCCAGGGGAGTTGGGGCTAAGGGGGAAAGAGGAGAAAAGGGGCTTCCTCTGAGCAGGAAGTAGGGATTTTCATCCCCTTTAGGGACTTTAAAAGTCCCCAGAGACTCCCGTGGGCTGTTCTACCTGCACTGGTGGGGGTGGAGGAGGCTAGGAGCAGGGTGTGCAGCCACCCTTGCAGTGCAGGTTGCTGGTGCCACACACCCCTTTGGGAAGTAGTGGATCCACCCCTAGGTCCCATAGGAAAACGTATAAAAATATCATCCATTTGGCTACAGCAGATCACAAGTATCTATGGAATCGTGGAGAAATGTCATGTTCTGCAGCCCTGTAACTGCAGATCATGGAACAGCAACTAAAATGCACCAACAGTTTACATCTTTCAGAGATGCTGTTTCAGGCCACCTAAAAATTCAGAAAAACTCATTGGTTTATTTTAAGTTCACATTTTCGAGACTAATTTCACCAACTTTAATATCTAGAAGCTTTAAAAGCAAGACAAACACAAAACGGTATTTTGGAACACCATTTTGTGGCAAATGTCATGGTTACACAATTAAAATAGAAAAGTGGTAGCTGAGTGATTCACAACACAGAATAACCTAACAAACACGCCGAGAGAGAGAAAATGACAGATACCCATCTTCAACAAAAGCCAGGACGCTGTGGAAAATCTAGTATAGCAGAACCACCCACAGCAAACAGTACCTTGTGGAGAGTGCGAGTAAGAAATGGAACTTGCCCGACTGATATGACTGGCTCTAAACAGCGCATGTGCGTGTGCGCACATGCACAGCGGATCTTACCCACAACAGACTTTCTAATTTTCTTTCTAGGCAAGGAAAGCTGGAGACCAAATGTCTGGTTCCAGAAAAATCCAAATGCAAGTTCTGAACTGGATCTATTGGAACTACTCTTATTCTTTATCTAAGCAGCAATGTTTGACACAGTGGGTATAAAAAACAGATACACTGAAGTTTTTGCAATGTTATGGAGCTCTGACACACTGGGGTCTGGACTTTCTCCTATGAGCAGCTAGAACTGTTCTTGATTTAGTCTAACTTGGGCAAAAGTAGTAAATCAGCACGGTCTAAGACACAACCAGCTTTTTTATATCAGTAAAGGGCTCAGATACAAGAGAACCAATTCATTTTCTTGAAGGGAGGCTGATCACAGAACTGCAGCTTTTACAGTTTCCAGATCCTGATGATTTCCCAATACCTTTGATGACACAGCAATGAGTCTTTCCACCTGGCAAGTAGCACAAGGCCTCAAAAACACTCCACCGAGGAGACGATGTGAGGAGTTACAAGCCAAAGAAAGAAGGCGCCGTGCTTCAGTGCTACCATCCGCTGCCAATAGTTGGCCTCAACCAGAGCCCTATTGCTGCACCCCAGGAAAGCCAATTCTTGACCAGGATGCAACCTGCTGCGGTGCTTCTTGGACGACCCCCTGGCAGGGCAGCGCAGGGCACAGCCTTGGTCTTTCAGGATCAGACTCAACGACTTGAGGTCATGTTGAAGCTCAATTCAAACTGCTCCTCGTGCCAACATCCCTCAAATTAAGGGTGGGGGAAGAGTTTGAGCCGCAGGGCACCCAGGTGCAGGGGCAGTAAATGCGCTACAAATCCCCTCAGAGATGAAGTCAGACACGGCTCTTTGGATAAATCGGATATCTGTTTATTAAATTTGTCCAACTATCTGAGTTGATTTAATAAAAGATATCCGATTTACCTAAAGACCCTTGCCTGCCTACGTCCTTAGACGAACACGGCTACACCCAACACCTCGGAGGTGAAGTGAGCTGGTCACGGCGATCCCGCCCGCCCCGGCACTGACCGTCGCGCAGCACGAACAGGTCCGTCTGCTTGTCCGAGTTGAAGTCCCCGAAGGCCGCCAGGACGCCGCGGGCCTCGGACCCGAAGAGCTGCGCAGTGACATTGTGCAGGGCGCGGCCGGGCCGCAGCAGACCGAGCAGACAACACAACACCAACACACCACAAACCCCCATCCTGCGGCCCCGCCGCCCCCCCCCCCCGCGGCCCCCCCGCCCCCCCGCCGCCAGCAGCGCTTTACGGCCGCAGCGGGAGGGGCCGTCACAATCCCCGCGCTTCACTTCCGGCACGGGCCCGGCGCTTTGCGGCAGTGTCGCGCGGTGCCCCGCTGCCCGAGTCGGGGCTGGTGGCGGGAGCGGGAGCAGCGCGGCGATGGCGGGGCACTTGGCGGACGTGAGCTGGAAGGTGGTGGAGCTGCGAGCCCGCTCCAAGCGCTCAGGTCGGACCTCGTGCCTGCTGCCGGGGTGGAGGCTGCTGGCGCGGGGCCGCTCCCGCCTGGCTCTGGCTTTGGCTTTGGCTGCCATGTCCCCGCAGGCGGTAACCCGAGCGCCGCGCTCCTCTGGGCTAAAAAAAGGCCGGCGGGGCGGG